TCTGACCGTATAAAGAGGCAGACGACAGGATGACAAGTTCAGTTTGAGGAGTGCCTAGAAAATGACAGTACTACCAACTGTCGAAAGCGCTCGCAGATAATTAATAGAAGNTCAAAAAGGAAGCATGATCTTCAGTCTTGAAGGTGGTTAATCTTCAAGCACCGTCAACCAGCGAACGAATAACTGGCTAAAATGGTACCGTATACGATTTTTAGATGATAAAAATGTAAACGCACAAGTTTCAGTTAATTCTACCAACAGCTTGCATCCTAAACGTGCTCAAACAGATTCGCTGTAGCCGTGCAGGGAGTATATTTTAGAGTCGAAAGCCTTTGGCAATAGCTCGTGGAGGCTACCTCCGGAAAAAATTCCAAAAAGTCGTACAAGAATGGTGCAAACACTGCGATTTGTGTTCCGCAAAAGTTATTGTTCAAAAATCATAAACAGGACCTTATTCAGTAAACTATATTACACAGAGTCACCGCGAAGCTAATCACCCTTGATATGGACGTGACCCGCTATATTGATAATTAATGAGTTACGACATATATTATATACATACTGGAGGCATTTAGTATTTGTCAAGCGACTATTTCTGTAAAGTGATACGTGTGCTGACGCATTATAATAAAAAACAAAAAACTCCAAACGTTCACAATAAGTCTTATTGGACAACCTAATACACCGTAAACGTTAACAGCGTGATTTTTGTGTCCATTTAAATCGATGTACAAATCCTATAGTGCTTACTAAACATCGCTGCTTACTAAACATCGCGAGATTAAAATTTTTATTTTGCTGACATTTGGCGATTTTGCCGACTTCTCGCCACCTCTCATATACCCCTCAAATCCGTGTCTGGGTGCATAAGAACTCAAAATAATTGCAGGAAAAATATACGTATGTGTTATCAATTGGACTAATACTCAATTGTCAACTAAGTTTAATTTGCGATGATCTTCAAAAGCAGATTGATATTTATTTCAAGATACGAACAGAAATAAACGTTTATAAATAATCTTTATGTTGACCGAAATTCAACAACAAAAGGAATTGAAAGTTGCGTGGCACATGAGATAAACAGTCTTAGATTGAATAAAACGGAGAACATATACAATATTAAACTTTACGAATCGAAATATAAAAATTTACATGAAGCATTTCGAAAATGCCTAATGGATTGATATAATTTCCTTTTCATGTTCGTCTCCATGTTTTGGACGTATAAAAGAGGATCGTATTTTGAAATTTAGAATATAATAGAATACAGTTTCCTTTGCATGATAAACACATTTTTAGGTATTTACAATTTCATTGTAATTCTCCATTTATGATAAGTGAGATTTAGAAGATATGTCTATAATCTGAATAAAAATTACAA